CCCCTGGGCTGGCGCGCACGGAGCTGGACCGCGCTGCGGCCCGGCTACCTCCTACCCCTTCGGCACATGGAGGCACAGAACAGCATCTTTCCGAGTCCTGCTCTGGGATGTATTGCTATAGAGCAGCCCGTGGCGGGGATGGAGGAATTCAACACATTACAAACCTGAGCTGTTCACAGATATTAGCGTTGTGTTTTGTTTGAGTATATACCCGCATGCCAAGCACAGAGCTACGTGTTTGCACAGTTCTTTAACTCAGTTATGGGATAGGCCTTAGCTCCTTGTACAGGAGGGGAGCCTGTGTCTCAGATGGTAATTCAGTCATCAAATATTATGGAGCATCAGTCATGTACCAGTCAGTGCACTAGGCCTTGGGGACACAGCAGTGAAAAATACAGAATGGCCACTAACGCTGGGAATTTTCAGGCAAGCTAAGGATGCCTTTCTTTCCCTAAAAACCGTACTTATGTTTGCTTGATTGTTAATAATGGTTATCTTCAGGGTGAGATTTTGCATGCATTTTTTAAACTCTGGCTTTTCTGCAATGTTTTGATTTCTTCAAATGAGCAAAAACAGCTATTTCCATTTTAACAACAGACTCCGGGATGGTAGGACTCCCCCCAGAAAAAAAAAAAGCCGCTGAGTCCTAGCTGGTTTGGCTCAGTGGATAGAGCGTCGGCCTGAAGGGTCCCGGGTTCGATTCCAGTCAAGGGCACATGCCCTGGTTGCGGGCTCGATCCCCAGTGGAGGCGGGGGGCGGGGGCATGCAGGAGGCAGCCATCAATGATTCTCTGTCATCATTGATGTATCTCGCTCCCTCTTCCTTCCTCTCTGAAATCAACGTTTAAAAAAAAAAAAAAAGAAGCCTCTGAAGCCTGTAATTGGCGCTGCCAGTAAAACAGCCCCTTGAGCGGAGCTCTAGCTTCTGCCCCCCACCCCCCCAAGTGGAGGTTCTCGTTTGTGGTTCCAGCACGCCTAATTGCTGAGCCCATTCCAGAGTCTGAACTGGAACTAGGCCCATGATCGAAAGGGAAGAGGCTATAGAGGTCCATGTAGAGTTGGGCCATTAATGACATCATCTTTATCAAAAAGTTTGGAACTCAGATTTTTCTGACATAAGACTTATCTTTATTCTGTCACCTCCTCACTGTAAATATATTCTGATTTCCCTAAGCACTGTGACCTCTTTTATGTCCCTGCAGCCTTCAGCACAATGCAGTCAGAGGGTGCTAGGTCATGGGGTTGGTGTTCTTTATTAAATAAGTAATTATTGAATATCTTTGCACAAGGTTAAGTGCACTTTCAAGTGGTACTTCTTCATAATGGTTTCAAAAGAGCTTTTCTTTTTCTGTCTTGCACCTGGTCAGGGTGAAGTAACCATGCAGGCATTTTTAAAAGGCACATCCATCAGTACTAAACCACCGTTGACCAAGGATCGAGGAGTAGCTGCTACTGCTGGAAGCAGTGGAGAGAACAAGAAAGCCAAACCTGTTCCATGGGTGGAAAAATAGTAAGAACTCTTGTGTTTTTGTTGAAATTGTTAATAATTACATTTCTAATTCCTTTTTTTTTTCTTAATAGGGGATGATTTGCTTGGTTTAGATGTTGTCCTTAAAAATCACACAAGGATGTAAGTCGTAGAACCTTGGTACTGAAAGGTACCTTAGAATGATCTAATTTAATTCCCTTATTTATGAACTAAGGTCTTCTGTATAACTCAGGTCTATGGTTTTAGGGGCCAGGATACATACAGCATTGAAGAAAACATAATTTTTTTTATAAGCCAGCTTTTGATCAGGAGTTCTACTTAAGTTCAAGTAATCTATTCCCCTTTCATTACTAATAGGTGGAAATTGTTGAGTTTTTTTTACACGTTTTTGGCAAAAACAACACTTGAAGTCACACTTAAATTTCAATCAGCTAAGTAGTAGTATGACAAATAGTAGTTGTAACTCCGGGTGTAGCCTCAATTACCAAGGGTTTGCAGATTGCTTATAGACCTTAAAGGCCCTCATGTTTTGTTTGGCGCCGACAATTCTTTTAAAAACGGCAAGTTTCACATAAAAATCTAGATATTTTTAAATTAAAAAAAATATATTATGCAAGGGGAGAAAAAAAATCTAGATTTTCAGCTCCTCAGGAGATTAGGCAGCCTCTAGATGCAAATTCTCACCTAACAGCAGTTAGATGGACTTGGATACTGCTTCTCATTTTGGAAAGGTCATGTGTTCCTCAATTCACATTGTCCCTATTTTCTCTTGCCTTATACTCTGCTTTCTTCACTCTTGTTGTCTACCTGGCCTCTGCAAGTATTTGAATAAAAAACTGGTTTATAACATACACTGGTTTTTCTAGAAAACATTATCTAACATGAAATTCCTGCCTGGCACTGATCCAAGTACTTAGAAAAATATGACTCAGAGAGTTTCAGATTAGTAAATTAAGCACAAAGCCTAATCTTAGGGTTGGAAGTATATCTGTTCGAGCTTCTCTTAAAATCACTAGTTAATGATTTAAGAAGAAAATTATATGTTATACTTCATATTGATTAAACTTATTTTCTTAGCTCTAAGTGAAGTGAAAAAATATGCATTATTGTGCAGTTAAGTAATGGAAAAAATAGATATTAACCAATTAACAATGTAATAACTACATTTATGTAACTGTATTAACCAAAATAGTTGCTCATCATGAAGTTACTAAATAGTTCTCTCTTTTCACCTGAAGTGCATGATCTTGTCAAAATATAATACTTTTGGCCCTGGCTCAGTTGACTGGAGCATTATCCTGAGCCCCAAAAGGTTATAGGTTTGATTCCCATTCAGGGCACATACCTAGGTTGAGGGTTCAGTCTCTGGTTGGAGTGCACATAGGAGGCAACCAATGTTTCTCTCTCACATTGATGTTTCCCTCTCTTTCCTCTTCTCCCCCCTCTCTCTCCCTCCATTCCTATCTCTAGAAAAATCAATAAAAAAATATATCCTTGGGTGAGGATAAATATATATATATATATATCATATTACTTTCTAGGCAAGTGTTCACTTTAAATTTTTAAGCACTTGGCATTTGTTGTGTAATAAAATCCTTTTAATTTTGGTAAGCATAACATGCAAATTATGTGTCTGAAAAGTGAAAAATTACTTCACTCCTTTAGTATGTATTTGTTTAAGGCACAAATGGCGTTTCCACCTACTTCCAATTATGAAAGTTTCTCATTACCATTATGAGAATTATCATCAGTATTTTAGCAAAAAGAACACTTGGAAACTTCTCTGTGGCTACTATAATATACAAAATAACCTTTGTTGTTGTTTTTTTACAGTCGTCCAAAATGTGTGGATGAAGTTGCTTTCCAGGAAGAAGTGGTTGCAGTACTGAAAAAGTCTTTAGAAGGAGCTGATGTGAGTAGCAGATGATGTTTAATGTCATTGGGAGATTCACCCTCTTCCTTTATAACCTCCAACCCCTTTAAATACTATGATATGTATACAGCGGGGCCTTGATGACTGTTGGTACAATGGATGATTAGTTCAACAACTATTTGTTGAGCATCTCCAATTCTATCCTATGGCATTGTTAATAGTACTCAAGTATAGACCATTGAGCAAGACAGACTGGATCTCTTTGCTCATGAACTTTTATTTTGGTAGGGAACAACAGAGTAAACATAGAAGCCAAATAAGTAAGAGAATTCTAGGTAACAATATGTGCTGTAAAGAAGAGTCAAGAGTTTCTTTGAAAGTATAATTTCTCTGGTAGTTACAAAATTGTCACAGGGCAATTTTGTACAGCATAGGGAATATAGTCAATAATTTTGTATGGTGCCAGATGGGTACTAAACTTATGGGGGAGGGATCACTTCTTAAATTATATAAATGTCTAACCATGATGCTGTACATATGAAACTAATATAAAATAATATTGAACATTAACTGTAACTGAAAAAGAAAAAGTATAATTTTTCACCTAATTTTAGGATTTGGTTTGAATTACCATACAAAAAAATTGAGCATTTCATTCTGCTTATAGCATTGTGTCTCCTACTGTGATGAGTAGGATAAAATGTCCTTGAGTGACTTGTATTTTAGATCAGCGGTCGCCAACCGGTGGTCTGCGGACCACTGGTGGTCCGTGAGGTCTGAAAGGTTGGTTACCACTGCTTTAGATTATTCATAGACAAACTAAACCCATATAAAGAATTAGCAGTTTAGGGACATACGTAATACTTTCAGCAATAAAGATTTAATTTTAAAAAATTTAGCAGTTTAAAATTGCATATGATAAAGTGCTTTAAGAACTCAGTGGAAGAAACCAAGATGGCGGCATAGGTAAACACCGGAGATTGCTGCCTCGCACAACCACTTAAAAAATACAACTAAAAGACAGAACGGACATCATCCAGAACCACAGGAAGGCTGGCTGAGTGGAAATTCTACAACTAGAAGGAAAGAGAAAAGCATACTGAGACTCAGAGGAGGTGCGGTGCGGAAGTAAAATACAAAGGTGCGGAGATGCATGCGGAGAAGGCTGGTGGCTGAGGACACGATTGTCTTTTTCAATCGGGAGGGAGTCTCAAGCTCTGAGCTCCAGTTCCAGGCGAGTCTCTGGGGACTGTCTGGCATCGGTCGGAACTCGAGGGCAGCTTTCTCTCAGAGGCACTCGCAGCGATTGCCAGGGCCTCTGAGGCCAGGACTGAGAGCAGCTATACTGCTCGCTCCTCCCGCCCTGTTGATCTCCTGGGACCCCGAGAAGCCGTGCACAGAGGCTTTTACATATGAAAGGCCCGGCCCTTTGTAATCTGAAAATAACTTAAAAAACTGCAGCTGCCCCAAGGCCCCAGGGCAACTTGCATTGCTTTACAGCTGGCTTCTGCTGGGTAGCCTCAGGCAGAGGCTAGATTAGCACCTCCTTAGATCCAAGAGCCAGTGTACCCAGTGGTCAGAGTGGGACCATCCAGATTACAACTCCTCAGATCCATAAGGGACACACTAAGGGAGCAGACTCAGTGAGCACCAAAGCTCCACTGAAGCAAGTCTTGCC